AGTGGATAGAGCACTGTCCCTGGAGTCAGGAGGACCTGAGTTCAAATCCAGCCTCAGATACATAGCACTCACTAGCTGTGTGACCCTGGGCAAGTCATTGCCTAGCCAAAAAACAAACAAACAAAAAAACAAACCAAGAAGTTAGCTTCACGAGTGCAAGATGGGTGAGACAGAAGTTTGTCTGAAAAAATCACCTAGGGGTTATAGTCATATGCCAACACTGTCATGGCAGCCCCCAAAGCTCACGTGACCTTAGGTTGCATTTGTGGAATCAACGTGTTTAGGTGGAGGTTGCTGACCTGATCAGAATACTGCCGTACCAAAGGCCAACCTCATCTAGCCTGCTGTGTCGAGTTCTGGGTGATACGTTGTAGGGAGGATATTGACAGATTTTAGCATACCTTGGAGAAGGTAATCAAGATTGAAGCTGGAAGGGAACCTTCAAAGTCATCTAGCCCGGCCCCTCTGAGGGCCTCAGAGGTGAAGTGCTCTGCCCAGGGTCACATAGGGAGTAACTGAGAGAGGCAGGATTTGAACTCAACTCCTTTGACTCCAAAGCCACTGCCGTTTCCACTGTGCCAAGATTTGAAACTACCATTTGAAGGAATCGCTGATCGTTTTCTTTTCCTCCTTTGGAAAAGAAGACTAATGGAGTATGTGATAACTGGCTGTCATGAGGAACACGGTTAAATTGATTCTGCTTGGCTGCAGGAAAACGAGAAATGGTTTTGCGTCGTAGAGGGGATGATGTGAGGGAAAAACCATTAGCAGTCAGAATCCAGAACGGGCGGCTCCCTATGGAAGTACCGCGTGCTGTGCCGGCACCCCGAAATCTTCCAGCAGCAGAGGGGGACTGGTTATCAGGCTGTCGGATCAGGGATTTCCACCCAGGCTCAGGTTAATTTCTGAGGGCCCCTCCAATTCAGAAATCCTACATTCCTGTGAAAATCAAAGAAAAAGAAGTGTGGAAGAAGGATTTGATCCCCTCACCCCCTGAAAAAGAGCCTACCGTGCTGCAGAAAAGTCATTGAAATGGAATTCTAGGATCCCAGGGTCTGTCGCTATGTTGCCACTGTGTGTCAGTCGATAGACTGTATGCTCCCTGAGGGCAGAGACTGCTTCAGTTTTGTTTTGTGTACCCAGCACTTAGCAGGGTGGCTAGCCCGGAGTAAACCTTTAATAAATGCTTGTTGGTTGCTTCTGTTCCCTTGGGTTTAGCTGCCTTCTCTCTGTATTGCCTCACGGTGACTGCTCCAGGCTTCTTTAGTTGGCTGTGTTCTGGGCAGTCTGAAGCTTTGATTGCCAGACCACCAGGCAATAATACTAGCCAAGAGAGGTGGCGTTCTGTGATGGCTAGAGAGTTGGATTTGGGGCCAGAAAGATTTGGATTGGAATCTCTCCTCAGACACTTATCAGCCGTGTGACCCTGGGCAAGACACTTTGCCTCACTTTCCTTATCTGTAAAATGGGGATAATAATAGTACCTTACCTCGCAGGGTTGTTGTGAGGATCCAGTAAAATAATGATTGTAAAGGGCTTATCATAGTGCCTGACACATGCTATGTAACTGTTAGTTATTATTATCATTATTGTTATTATTATTTCGTGATTCCACGTCTTAGATCCATACTATTTGTGGGAGGGTTGGGTATGCTTGTGGGATTGCAAGTGTAAGAACCGGTTGATTTGTGGCATACCTAGAGAAACATAGGGGCACACCCTTTGAGAGCCACTGGGTTTGTGGGAGGAGGACTGGCTGGGGTGCTAGGCCTGACTGCTGCTGATCTGCTGTGTGTGAACCTCCCTTTACTCACTTGTAAAATGGTGATAACAGTACTCGGGGACTTCTTCCGTTGTATTATCTGAGCTGGGAAAGTGCTTTGGAAAGCATCAAACCCTGAGATGTGAGAGGTTAGTCTTATTGACATAGCCCTCGCTCTCCTAGAGGTTCACAGTCAGCTATAAAAGCACCCGCAGAGCGGTCCACATGTCAGAACAAATAAACCAGTCTACAAAGAAGAGCCAGCTGGGGGTGGGGTGGGGGAGGTAGGGGAGGGTGAGTCAGTCTTAGCCCTTTTCATGAGGAGGTGGAAATCCCCACCCAACCGTCTGGCTGGAGGAAGGGAGAGTTCCAGGAGATGAGGGCGGGAGGATGGACGGGGACAGCCTGGTGAGTGATGGCAGGGAGGGAGAGGATGTTCCAGGGCAGGCCAGATTGGAGGAGAGAAGGTGAAATTCGCAGGGAGGCTTTGGTTGCCAGAGACAGGAATGCCAGCCCTCCCTTCCTTGAAGAGCATCATTCTGATTGCTGGATTCTTGCTTGGATTTGTGCCTCTCCCTCCCTCACCTGGGAATGATTGCTGCCTGACCTGGGCTGGAGGCCCAAAGATTCCCCCCCCTCCTTTACCCTCCTTGTTGATGAAAAAAGATTGGGAGAGTTGCCCAGTTCTTCCTGTCAGATCATCCTGCCCTGAATCTCCTTCATGCTGGTTGCCATGGTTGCAGCTGGTTCATCAAAAAAACTATGTATTAACACTAATAAAATAATGATACTATTTTATTGATACTTTTGTTTTTCTATAGCTGTGTGGCCCTGGGCATTTTGTGCCTCAGTTTCCTCATCTGTAAAATGAAGGGATTGGACTCGATGGTTCCATTCAGTCCTAAATCTATGCTTTTATGATTATTTGACCTCTGTTGGCCTCAGTTTCCTCATCTGTAAAAAATAAAGGGGTGGATTACGTTCTTTCAGCTCCGAATCTGTGATCTATGAGCCAATAAACTCCACTCCCTTCACCCCACCCACGGTATCTTCCCTTAAAAAGTATTTAAATACAACCATTTGATGTAGGTATTTGGCTGATAAAACATGCAATAAATATTTCACAGTTTCCAATTTCCTGATCGAGAGGAAGGCAGTATGTTTGAATGGCAGTCACCTGGGACCGGCTCTGGCCATTTGCTTGAGTGGATTGCCATCCGCTTTGACTGCTGTCTTCTTGCATTTATCGGCATCCCTAGGGCCTTCTGCCCTCTCGGTTGTATCGGCTTTCCTCTATATCACTCCACCGGAGACTTCCATGTTGTTGCTTGCAGTCCTTCATATTTGTGGTTTCTTATCACACAACGAAGGAGGATCATAGAGGAGTGTAGATTTTATTTGTATTTCCACTTTTATTGGTATATTTTATTTTCACATGGCCATCGTTTCCTTGTGTCCCCCACCCCCTACCTCCCCAGAGTGTCAGCCCTTGTAACAAAGAATAATCAAAAGGGGAAGGCTGACCAGGGAGGGAAAGCAGTTCCGCGAAGCTCACTAGCACATCAGCTAAGTCTGACCAGTACATTCATAGCCTCCAACTTCTGCAAAGAAGGCAGGGAGGTGAATTTTCTTCTCCTCTTCCAGATCAAGCTTGAGGGGTGGAGAGCTTGGAGCGGGAAGGGACCTTTGAGGTCATTGATGCTGACAATTTCATTTTATGTTGGAGGAAACTGAGGCTCAGAGAAGCTATGATTTATTAAGTCATTCTGACATCTCAGCATCTTCATTTCTTGGTTTTTGCTACCACAAAAACCATTGCTATAAATATTTGCCTGTATATGCGACTTTCCATTCTTCATTTGCTTTCTTAAGTTCAGAGAGTATGAAGAGTTTAGTGACAATTCCAAATTTTTTCCCTAGAATGGTTAGACAAAGGTAGAATGCTGCTAAAATGATAGTAATGGTGATGTGCCTGTCTTCCTACAGCCTCTCCACCATGGACTTTCTCTGTCTTTTAGTAGCTTTGCCAATTTGAATTTAAGGGGTATGAGGTGAAATCTCAGAATTGTTTTCATTAGTATTTTTCTTATTTGAGATTTGGAGCATTTTTTTGGGGGGGTTACTTGTATTTGCTTCCTTCCTCTCTCTCATGTTTTCCAGATACTGTTGTAATTATAATTATTTTTGTGTGTATGTGTATGTACCTATACACACACACACACACACACACACAGAGTTGGTGGATAGACTTCTGTGCTCCTCAAGGGAACATGAAACTTTCCCTTCAGTGTATTCCAACTTACTGTGATAACGTGAGCTGTCTATTAGGAGAAACTAGTGAAAGGCACTCTGGGAGAGTGGAAGGAGCTCTGGAAACAGGCATTTTGCGTGAGAAATTCTTGGTTGTCAGGGCCTAGAAGAGAACGTCAGAGTTTCAAGTATGTTTAAGGTCATCTAGTCAAAAACTCTCTTTTTGTAGATGAATGAATGACATCTTTGTTTAAATATGATTGGTTTCTCTTGTAATCCTGTGTATTTTATTTTATGCATTTGAGAACAGGAGTCCATCCCTAAGCCCCACCAGACTGATGCCAAAGGGGTCCATGACCCCACAATACTTAAGAACTCTTGTAATCCAACATCCTTGCATCTGTCTCATCTCCACTGGAAGGACCATACCTCCATCCAGTCTCTTCTGTCCCTCACCTACACTCTTAAAAGAGCTTCCTTACTTTCTTGCTTCAGGTCTTTCTTCCCTTTCCAATCTGTGCTTAGCAGAGCTGCCGAATGAATCTTCCCAGTGAACAGGGCTAATCGTGTCATTCCTCTGCTCAAAAATCTTGTGATTCCCTATTGTTTCCAGGATAAAATCTCAGCTTGTTTGCCTGGCACTTGGGGTTAATCAGTCAACCAACGAGCATTTATTAAGCCCATACTATGTCCTGGCACTGGGGTACAATGACAAAAAGTGAAACAGTCCCTAATCTCAAGGATATCTCAGGATAAGAGGAGGGAAGTTTCTAGAAGCTTAGGTGGGATGGTCTTTAGGCCATTGTAGGGGTCAGAAAGTGGAGGATAGGATCATTGATGGCTCCTTAGACTAGGTCTTCAGGGGTGGACTTTACTCTCAGCTTCACCAACCTGCCATTACTCCTAGTTGACGTGGGAGATGCCAGGGATGTCATCATCTCCACAGCAAGGCAATTCCTCAAAGCAGTAAAGGTTATTTGTTTTTCAGGAAGGGGACCAGTTTTTACTCTGGTCAGCCTGGTTGTTTCTCCATTTCTGACGTTCCCCGAAGGAGACGCTGAGGATTGGTTGACAAATCAGATGTGTGGTGCACGGACGTTTCCAGCAAGGTCAACTGGAAGACTCATGTCCAGAGTGGAGACAGCTTGCCCCAAGTGAGCTGAGGGGTCTCCAAGATCCCTCTGCCCTCAAACGCCGATGTGTTGAACTGTCGTCTTTGTATTGTTCATTACTCTGTGTGTGTACGCGCACGTGTGCGTGCACCTTCTGTGTCCCAGAAAAGTCATTGGCTTGAGGAGGGCAGAGTCTTAACTCGTACCTTGCATTTGGGGTCAGTTCTAACCCTAGCGCTGGAAGGGTGCTCAGACTCCATCTGGTCCAAACCTGTCATTTTACTGAGAAGGAGACCGAGGTCCGCCGAACTGGTGTGACTCATGGGCTCACAGAGTGAGAGCTGGAAGGCTTGAGAGCTTCCAGTCCAAACCAATCATTTTATAAAGCAGGAAAGCGAGGTTGGGAGATGGAGGCACTCGCCCGGGGTCACCGAGGCAGTAAGCCTCTGAGGCGGGGTGCTCGATGTGCTGATTCCAGAGCCGTGGGAGGGCTCAGTGACTGCTTCTTAGATGCTCGTTTTGTGTGGAAGCTGCTGGTTTGTGGGGGAACTCCGGGCTGTCGTCCTCCACGGGCAGCAGCAAGAAGCCTTGACATTTGGTAGGGGCCGAGTTGTCGAGAGAGGGCTCATACAGAGCCAAGGCTGGCACATCCGGCTGACTCCCAGGTTAAGATGGCAGCCCGGCCGAGCCGCTCCGTGACCGCGGGCTGGTGCCTCTGTCTTCGTGCACCATGCAGTAAACATTCATCACAGGCTGCCTGGGTCTGATAGGAAGTCTTCCTTCCTTCCTTCTGCCTGCATTTGGCTCTGAGGGAGATAGAACATAAATGGCATCGAGCCTGGTCCTGTGGAGGTGGGGTGGTACAGGGAGAAAGCCATGGCTCTGGGGTCAGAGACCTTGCGTTCAAATCCCACCTCTGCAGTTTTACTACCTATGTGACTTTGGGCAAGTCACCACCTCCCTGGGCCTCAGTTTCCTCATCTGTAAAATGAAAAGTTTGGACTAGGTGGCCTCACAGGTCCCTTCCAGACCCAGACCTAGTTTCCTTTGTAAGCATACAAGCCCTTCAAAGCAGAGTAGAATGGCAGAAAGGCCTGACCAAAGGATTGAGTAGCAGGAGGTTTTTCTAGAGGGTGAGATGCTGGTGGCATCCCAGGCGCTGGCCCGGGGGAAGGGTGTTGTCTTACACCTCCCGTGGTTCTGTTGCGTCTGTCTCGGGGCCCCCCGGCATCCAAGCAGGGTCCTTGCTGGTCTCTGCCCACTTGGCTCCTGCACTGCTCGGGATGACACCCAAGCCCAGGTTCCTTCTCTTCGTTCCAGCCTTGGTTACGCTGGCGCCAGGACTTTTGTCAGCATTAATTATAGAAATGAGCAAAGCACCCGTGGACCTGCTGCCTCCTGCAGCTTTTTCCGTTCCCCCACCCCCCTGCCTTTGGTGGCCTGGGTTCACCTTTGCTGGGTCCAGAGCATTGCTGTGTCTTTTTGCTCATCCCTATGTCTCTGTGCCTTTGTCTTTCTGTCTCTGGCTTGTGTGTGCAGTTCTATCGCTAGTGCTCAGCATCATGCCTGGTGTGAGTATTATTATTAAGCAGTTAATAAATTTTTTCTTTCCTTTCTTCCCTTCCTCTGCCAGCTTCCTTCCTCCCTACCTCTTTCCCTTCCTTCCTTCTTCCTCCCTTCCTTCCTCCCTTATTTCCTTCCCTCCCTCCGTTCCTTCCTTCCTTTCTTCCTCCCTCCCTTTCTTCTTTCTTTCTTTCCTTCCTTCCTTTCTTCTTTCCTTCCTCCCTTCCTCCCTCCCTCCCTTTCTTCTTTCCTTCCTTCCTTCCTTCCTTCCCTCCCTCCTTCCTTCCCTTCCCTCCCTCCCTTCCTTCCTTCCTCCCTCCCTTCCTTCCTTATCTGTTCTGAGGATTATGGTCCCAGAGCCACAGGCTGGACATCAGCCATGTTGGCTCTTAAGTCAGAACACTTGACTTCCAGACTGGTTTCTGTTGGATGTATCCCAGCGGCCTGAGGCGGTAACATATGGGCATGCAGATCTCCTAAAAACAAAAGTCCCACAAAATGAAGAAGGAGCCGCATGGTTTGGTGCTGTGGATCCATTGAAACTGCCTCCAAGGCGTGCTACCTGTGTGACCTTGGATAAGTCACTTAATCTGTTTCCTCATCTGTAAAATAAAGGGGTTGGGCTCAACGGTCTCTGAGATGTCTTCCAGTCTGGTGTGAGCCTATGGATATGGCTTTAGGGGCCCCTTCTAGGTTTCCATCTATGTTCCTAAGGAAATGACATTGCAGTTTTCAAATTTTGAAGAACAGTAGAGCTGAACCAGAATGTGAATGCATTGGCCTGACAGCTTTATTTCAATCAACCCTTATAGGCAAATTCCTCTTTTGAACATGAAACCCTGGTTGTTGATCAAAGCTAATTTATTTGCAAATGGTAGTTTTTGTATCTGTAAGAAATTGTTTTTGTTATAGCAAGATTACAAAGCTAGCAAAGAGCTTTTCTCTTTGTGAATATTTCATTAAGAAATTGCTTGGGTGGTGCTGAGGGGAGGAGGTCTGAGGGAAGTGGGAATGGGGTGGAAGGAGGTCGCTGGTCTGAGGAAAGGGGGGAATGGTGTGGAAGGCGGTCTATGGCTTGGGGAATGAGCTGGGTGGGCAGGTGTGCTGGGTTGAAGACAGAGCTGCAGGAGAGGGGCCCAGTTTTAAGCTGTTCGCTTGAAAGCAGCTGGACCAGGTGGGAGAGCTGGTGTTTGCTTTGCTGTCCCAGGAAATGTACCCAGAGCCCTCCCTCCATTCTGAAGTGGCCTCATTTTTTTTTTTTTTTTTGTTTTGTTTTGTTTCCTTTTACAGCAGGCAGAGGTGAAGCTGGCTCCGGAGACGCATCGGGCAGAGGGTGGTGGCGCCAAGCTTGGTGGAGCCCAGTTAAATCTGGCACATCTGTCCCAGGCCTCCTGATGGTTGGAAGGTAAGGCTCCCACCATCCTGTTATGTGGCTTAGAAAGGGAAGCAGCTTGGCCAAAGTCACACAGTGACTCGATGGCGATGTGTGGATTAGAAGTCATGCCTCCTTCCTCTTGGGTTAGTTCTCCTAATAAATCAAGTGGGAAGTTGGAGTTTTCCAGTTCATGGACTCCTCTCCTTCCTTTTCTTATTCCAGCCCCCCCCCCCCCCTCAACTAACCAAGTTAACAGTTAAGCATAATTCAGTCCATTTGATGGTGGGGGAGTTTTCCCTCTGTTGGCCTGGCTGCTAGGCAGCTTGCAGGGGCAGCAGGTGCACCTTTCAGTGACATTTTGGAGACGGTTTCTGGTTCAGTCCAAGCTTTTCCTTGGTTTAATTAGCCTGTCAGTTTGCAAAGGTGGCATTATGCCCAAGGGGGCTTTCTGTTTTTCTGTTCTTCCTTTTAAACTCTTTTGACAGGAGGTTGGATTTTCCCAGCTCCCAGTGAAGCCTGAATGGCCAAAGGACTGAATGCGATCCCCAGGCAACAGTGAGCCAGGTTTAAGGGGACTCTGACTTGCTACACCCGTTCTCCTAAGGAGAAAGCTCTGGTTTTCAGAAACGGGCAGGTGTAGGGACAGGTCCTGCCCCACATCACACCAGGAGCCTGGACGTGAAAGGAAGTGTAAAGCTGTGGCAGTGACCAAGCCCCAACCTGTCTCGCGCTCGCTCATTCTTTCATTGCTGACATGTGACTTTTTCTTGTTGGAGAGGGTTTTAGACATAGAACTTAACATCCTTATTTGGGGAAACAGAGGTTCAGAGAAAGGAAGTGACTTGTCCAAGGTCTCACAGTCTCCTGGTGCCCCAGCTGGGATTAGAGTTCACTTGTCTCCTTTCTTCAGTCCAGAGGATTTCCCACCTCATCAGGCTATTATATAAGATATCTTCTCTCCCTTTTTCCACAAAAAGTACTGCTATAAGTATTTTGGTATATGTGGGGCCCTTGTGGTTGAAAGGTATTTCACAAAACTATCAAATATTTAGAGCTGGAAAGAACCTTAGAGATCCTATAGTCCAATGAAGATGAGGGAACTGAGGGTCAGAGGAAGAAAGGAAGCGTTCATTTAAATGCCTACTATGTGCCAGGCACTGCCCTAACTAGACGCTTTCCAAAATTATCTCATTTGGTCCTCACAACAACCCTGTGAAGTAGGTGTTATTATGATTCCCATTTTACAGTTTGGGAAACTGAGGCAGATAGAAGTCAAGTGATTTGCCCAGGCTCACACAGCTCTTGAGCATCTGAGGCCGGATTTGAATTCGAGTGTTCCAGATGCCAGGCCCTGTGCTCCCTACAGATCATAGCAGGCTACGGTAGAGCTGGGCCTGGGACCTAAGCTCTTTAATTTCATGCTTTTCCCAACATCTGACACCTCCTCCCATCGGTTACGCCTGTGGCCAAAAGCATTCAATTAAATTTGAAAGGAGAGGCAGCCTAGTAGTAGAGTGGAAAGGGCATGGAATTTGGAGTCAGAGGACCTGGGTTCAGATCCCGCCTCTGGGACTTAATCCCTGTGTGATCTTGGGTAAGTCATTTCCCTTCTTTGGGCATTGGTTTTTTAATTTTTAAAATGGAGAGGTTGAAGTGCATTCCCTTTTAAGATCTCTCATAATTCTAAGTCCGCGAGCCCATGAACCCGTAAGCTCACTGATCATTTGATGTGGCCTAGAGTGCCACGCTATCAGTGTGTGCAACTCCCCGTCCCTCTCATGGCCCTGGCTATAGTCCTGCTGCTTGGTGGTGGGTCAGGGGCTGTTGGCTCCAGAAGGCACTAGAGGTCACCTAAAGGTCCAGCCCCCTCCTTCTACAGATGAGCGCACTGAAGCCCACAGACCAGAAAGAGTGCACCCAAGATGGTGCGAGTCATTCATTAGCAGAGCTGTGATTCAGACCGAGGTCCCCTGGCTCCAAGCGTAGCATTCTTTGTCTGCTTGTTGCCATGTTGCCATGACAGTGGCGTTCATGAGCTCTGCTGCATCCTGTCCTGGGAGACTTTTCTAAGTGTGTTTATGTCAGATCCTCGTTACAAAGGTCAAGGAGAAAGTCCCCATTGTGACCGTTTCCATAGTGGCAGAGTGTTCCCCTCTCCTGATTGTTAGAACCAGCCATGCCTTGGCTTCGGTTCTCGGATTCTGAAAGGGCAGACCATTTTATTTTGTCTGTGGTTGTGTCTCCACCCATCACTTCTGTAGCAGCGTAGTATTAGGACCAAACTCTGCCCAGTGGTCCAGGGAACCAGAAGGGGATATTCTGAATGTGACATTCTGGGCTGTCAGAATATGGCAAAGGAGAAGTTGTAAGAAGGGTTAGTCCAGAGCTAAAGGAGGGTAAGCCAATGGGCCTTTGGGAGGGACGATAGAAATTTGACTGGAGAGGGGCTAGGCCTCTTTGGAGAGGGCCTTTGTCTCTCACCTGGGCTGGAACCAAGGTGAGACAAAGAAAGCTTTGCTCTGTGTGGGACTCAATTTAGAGGGTGTCAGAATGGGCTCTGGAACAGCTGTGGTGCAGACTGGAGGGTCCTGGGCGAGGGACAGGACCACTGACACTCCACGCTGTGTTCCAACGCCAGCCCCAGCTAGGAGCTTCACACCCAGACTGAAGCCTTTGGGGATGATGAGTGTCTGAGTCGGCCCCCTGTGCCGCTTCAAGTACTTTAAGACAATTACAGAGGTTTGTTTTTAGTTTTCAGCATTCACTTTTGTAAGATTTTGAGTCCTGAATTTCCCCTCCTCCCTCTATGCCCCCCTCCCCAAGATGACGTATCTCATATAGGCTATGCATGTACAGTCATATAGATTTTTACATTAGTTGTGTTGTGAAAGAGGAATCAGAATGAGAGGGAAAAACCACGAGGAAGAAGAAAAGAAAGAAGAAAGCAGTCTGCTTCGCTCTGCGGCCAGACTCCACGGTCTTCCTCTGGCTGTGGTTAGCATTTTCCATCACGAGCCTCTTGGAATTGTGACTTTCAGGCTATTATCACGCTCTGCCCCCTCTCCCGGGCTTTTCTTCTTTAGGCCACGCTTCCCCGCACGGCATCGACTCACACCTTGTCATTCTAGTTGCCTTCTTCTGAATGCTCTATAGGCTGTCTGTGTGTTTTCTAAAACAGAATGAAAGCCAATACTCCAGATGTGGCCTAGCTCAAACAGAGTGCAGCAGGACCATCTTGTCCTTACTTTGGAAGCTATGGCTCTTCATGCTCAAGGTGGTATTCGCTTTTTTTTAGCCGCCATTTTCTACCTGGTAGAGCTTACAGTCCACTAAACCTTCGTGTTTTTTTTTTTTAGACAAACTGCTGTCTGATGCCTCCTCTGTCCTGTACTTGTGAGATTGATTTCTTGGGTCCAGGACATAGGAGAGGGGGTCAGAAGTATGGAGAAGTGTGAAGTTGGCCCACACCCATTAGGCGGGTTAGTAGACAGTGGCCTCCCCTGTCAGTGACACTGCTGGAGAGAAGCTGAGACCACAGGACCCACAGTGGCTTTCTAGCACCTAATAGCTATGGAATGGGGATGAGAAGGCATATCCTATTGGTATCAGGGGCGTTACTATTTTCTGCTCCTTTTTTACCTCTAAAAAGACAGAGTCTGGGCTCTTTACCCTATAGATGAGCCTTCTCATCTATAAGTTCAGGAGGAGAAATGGGTTTCCAAACTGCTTGTGGACACTGGGAAGACTGTATGTGGTTCATGAGGATGCCCTCCCTTTTCTTACCTTTAGCCATGCATTTGTTTGGGCTAGGTCACATGGGTGAACAAGCTCTCTCTTTCGATGCCTTCTCACCTCAGTGGAGGATTCTGATCACTGAGGAGAACTCTCACGGGTCATGTGCAACATACGTTATTCATCCACTTTGCTTTTCCCGTGTGGATGGCTAACCTGATATCTTTTGAATTATTAAAAATTTTATTGAATTGGCTTTGTTTTGTTCCAGGGTGCAATGCAATTAATACAATGTCACCTGTGAATGGGGGTGTTTGGAGAATGTCACCATGAATGAGGAGTCCTTTTTCCATTTGGCCACTGTGCAGGACAGCCTCTGTGATATTGGTGAGTACCTTAAGTGAACTTGTGTCTTTGTTTTGTGTTTTGTTTGGTGTCGGTTTTCTGTCGGTGAACCCGTCATAGTCGAAGCTGCAGTTGTCATGGCATCTTGGAGACATTTTGTTTGAAGAGAGATGCTCAAGGTTTTCCTACCAAGTAAAATTATTTTTAAAAGTTAACACTAAGAAGATAGAGTGGGAAATCTTATTTTTAGTTAATTACATGATGGTAAAAATGTGGACTGCTGAAGAAAATCGTCTCTGAAGGCTTTCTGATTCTCTTTTCATGTTTTCATCAAGTATATCCTTAATGCCTGTGTAGACCATTTTTAGAAATAGTTTATGGTTATGAAAACATAGGAATAATGTGAGTATAGTTGATGATGTCTTTTTTCTAAAAAAAAAAAAGCTCCACATATTTTCTTGATTTTTTTATACCACCTACTACTTCTATTGTTGTATCTCCCTCACTCTTTTGTAATAAAGAGCCATTCTTTGTAACAAAGAAGAAAAAGAGTTTAGCAAAGTTAGTTTTCCTATCAAAAAGTCCAACTTCATATGTAGTATTTCGTACTCATGGTCTGTAAAAATGTAAGGGGCAGGTGCATTATCCTGTTTTTAATTTGGAGCCGACCTTGGTCATTGGAATTTTGAAGCATTTGTTTATTTTGCTGTTCTTTCCATTCAAATAGTTATATTTGTTGCATATAGAATTTCTCTAGTTCTGTTCATCTCACTTTGCACTAAGTTCACATGACTTTCTTCTGTTAATGAACGACATAATTAATCGAGCCATTCCTAACCAATGGGTCTCTATTTTGTTTCTCATCTTTTTTTGCTACCGTGAAATATGCATTTTGATGTATATTGGACCTTTGTTTTTGTTAATTGACTTCCTTGGGATATATTTGTATCAGCGCAAAAACTGTTTCAAAGAGCATAGATATTTTCATCACACTCCATGAATAGTTCCAAATTGCTTTCCAAAATGGTTGGAGCAATTCACAACTCCATCACTAAGGCATTAGTCTACCTCTCTGACACTGACTATTCCCACCTTTTGTTAATTTGCCAGTTTGCTGGGTGTGAAATGCAACCTCAGAGTTGTTTTTATTTGCATTTGTTAGTGGTTAAGAAATAGAAAAGCAGAGCAGTGGGACAAATTAGATAAAGAAGAATCAGAAATAATTGAACTCAATAACCAGTGTTTATCCAGTATAAACTTGAAAACATAAATTCCCCGAGAGAGAAATCCTTATTTGACAAGAATTACTGGGGAAACTGGAAAGCATTCTGGCAGAAATAAGTTTAGAGCATCTTACACCGTATAGTACAGTGAGTAGCACTTGCCCTCAGGGAGTTTACAGTCTTTCAGGTAAGACATAGATACATATGTAGATGTAGCAGAATTTTAGGTTCTTCTGCTTTCCAAATAACTCAGGTAGGGATAAGCACCCGCCCTGCTACTGGACCATTGTTAACCTGACCTTAGGTTTTAAGGTAATGGAATATTTTGTGAAATGTCTTCATAAATCACTAAAACTGTTTCATCTCTGTAATTAATCAGTTAGTTCCAAGCCCCTACCTCAGTGCGTTAAATACAGTTTGTGAGTTGGAGAAGCCTCTTTTCCCCATACATTTTTGTTCATCTCTCTCTACATATACATGAAATCCCCTAATATCTTTGGCTCGTCTAAACATCAAGGTTCCTGGCTGCGTGCTTGATTAACAGCACAGCCGAAAACAAAAGGAAGACATAAATAATCATTTCAAATCTGTTGGCTCTGAGGAAGATCACAGCTAAAGTCACCTGACACCAATAGTCCAACCATTCCGTTCTCTCACGATGCAATTAAAGTCTTTTGTCCAAAACTGCCTTCGTGTTTCCTTGCAAGATAAGAGTTACAATGGCTCCCTCAGGAAAGAAGTTCTCTTGATACTAATTTCTTCTTACGCTGTCTGACCTTCAGCAACGTAAACAACTCTCCAAAATGACAGACTCTTGATCCTTTAAAGATCCAGCAGCAGCATCTGTTATCTGTGTTGTTACGTAGGTGCGCTGGTTTTCCATTATATGTATAAAAATATATGCAGAAAATACACGGTAAATTTTCCATAAAGGGGCTGGCCGCTGTCAGGGTCAGGCATGCAGAACAGGAGCTGCTCTCGGATTGGGCAGGGCTGCGTGAAGAAGGTGATGCTTCGGCGGACTTGAAGACAACTAGGAATTCTAAGTGGCAGCAAGGGGGCGTCATAGTGCACAGAGCACTGGGCCAAGACTCATCTTCAGGAGTTCAAATCTGGCCTCAGACGCTTACTAGTTGTGTGACCCTGGGCAAGTCCCTTCATCCTGTTTGCTTCAGTTTCCTTATCTGTAAAATGAGCTGGAGAAGGACATGGCAAAATGTTCTGATGAGACCCTGAAGAGTCAGGTGCGACTGAAATGACTAAACAACAACAATAAGGAATTCTAAGAGGTGGAGGCCAGACAAGAGTATGTTCTAGGTCTGGGAGAATAGGCAATGTCCTTGTGATTCTGGACAAGCCCCTTAACTTCGTGGAGTCCTAGGGAACTCATTACCGTTATTAAGTCACAGAACAAGCGCCTGTCCACCTTGGTAGAGGGAGTTTGCCCACCAGGAGCCTTCTACCCTGAAATAAATGGGCTCATCCTTTGTCATTAGAAACTTTGAAAGCAGAACAGTAATTTTTAAGAAGGCTTCAATACTGCAACCGGCAAAGAGATTTTAGGCTTGTGTGGGGAATGCTCAGTGGTCTGCTTTTTCTGTGCTCTGTCATGCTCAGTAGTAAAACAGCTGTGGGGGAGAAATGAGCGCTTGTTGATTGAGCCATCGGGTGAAGAGAATGCTTCTCTGCCCGGTCCCTCTGCTTGTACTGGCTGGTTCTCAAATAGCCTTTTCTTTGGGCTAGCATGCTTCTCTCCCTCTCCCTAATCTCCAGTACAGTACTCCTCTTAGGGGCTCTCAGGGGCAGGGGGTCAGAGTAGATGTGGTACTCGCAGACACAATCTGAAGTGCTGCATTAGCCGTGTGATCTCATGGGTCTGGTTGCCAACAGTGAGATCACAGTCCATCCGTGCCTGTGGGACTTTGGGCCATCACCTCCCATCAGTTCTCCATGGGGGTCCACCCAGTGTGCTGGAGGCCTTCACCACAAGGACACCAGTGGAGATCCCTGGCAGCTTACCTGCCACCCTCACCTTTCTCATGGGACCAGCTCATCTTCCCTTCCTACCGTACGTGGACCTGATGGCGTCTCATTCCGTATACACTGCAGCTTGCTCATACCCATCGTGTGCTGCCCCATGGACCTCTCTGTGCCATTCATTTACTTTATTTCCCCCTCACCCGTCGTAAGTATCTCCTTAATAGGAGATGTTGGAGATACAAAGACAAAAAACCAAACAAACTTCAAGACAACAGTTTCTGCCTCAAGAGGCTTGTTGTCCTGGGGGTGGGTGGGAGGGAACAGGAAATAAAATGTCAATAGAGAAGGGAATACAAGAAAACTTGGCAAGTGAGAGAACCAGCGGTTTTCTGGAGTCAGCTCATACCAGCTGAAGAGAACTGATCTATTCCAGTGTGAACATTCATCCCTTGGAAATTGGCAAACCCTGGGAGTCAGAGCTCAGCTGATGGCTTTGTTGTTTGTCTTAGACTTACGGAAGTGATGGAGAAAATGTCAGTAAGGCAGATTAAAATTCAAGGGGTGTTGTGTGTACATCTCAACCCCAGGTTGTCAAGCTTTTCCCAGCTTGAGAGAACCCTCCCAGGTCGGGGTTAATGGTAGTAGTGGTGAGCTGAGTCTTGAAGAAAGCTGAGAATTCTGAGATGGAGAGGAGAAGAGATAGTGCACTCCAGATGTGGGAGAGGTCCTGTACAAAGGCATGAAGAGCTTGGGGAATAACGAGCGAGCCGTTGGCTGAAGCAGCGAGTATGTGGGGGACACGATATTAAACAAGTCTGGAAGGAGCCAGATGATGAGGAACTTGATATGCTAAGCAAGAGGAAGCCAGTGGACAGTCTTGGGTGGAATAGTGGTCTGGTCAGACTAGTCCTTTTGAGAGTGTTGTTGGCCATACAGAAGGTAGCTTCTGAGGCCCTTCCCCACCTCTGAGAAGCTGAGATTCTGGGGATCTCTGGAAGATGCAAATGAGGCAAAAGACGCAGGGCCCTTCAGGTAGTTTTCATGGTGTGCGGATAACATCACATGCGTTGTTTTGACTGCAATCCTTCAATCCCAGTCTTTGGCCCATCTTCATCTATCTATCTATTTATCTACTTATCAATCATTCTTTCTTCCTTTTTCTCTTTCTCTTTCTTTCCTTCCTTTCTCCCTTCCTTCTTTCTTTCTGTCACCTCTTTTTCTCACCTCTTCTCTCTCTGTCCCTGTCCCTCTCTCTCCTTTCTCTCTTGTTTTTTCTCCCTCTCCTTCTGTCTCCTTTCTCTCTCCCCTTCCCTCTCTGGCCTTCTCTGTCTCTCTCTGTTCTCCCTCCCTCCCTTTTTGTCTCTCTCCCTCTCTCATCTTTCTCCCTTTTCCTCTCTGTCCCTCTCCCTCTCTCTCCTTTCTCTCTTGTTTTCTCTCTCCCCTTCCCTCTCTGGCCCTCTCCTTCTCTCTCCTTTCTTTCCCTTTCTCTGTCTCATTCTCTCTTTCTTAATAAAAGTTTATTGATATTTTTTACATGACCAAAACTTTTCCCAGTAACCCTCCACTCTGCCTCCCAGAGCCATCTCAAATAACAATAACATATTTTTTTTAAAGAAAGAAGAATTAGAGCAAAAAGATCACTTTGGCTGCTTTTTCTCTTCCTCATTTTCTTTCTTTAAAGTAAGTGTTTGGTGGTAGCTTCTTCTTTTTTTTTTTTTTTTTTTTTTACACAATCTCTGTGTCATAATATATTTCTTGCCCCATCTCTTTGAGGCCGTGCTTGGCCATTATAATTTTGCATTATCCAGTTTTTGATACTTTGTTATTCTTTTGTCTGTT